CCCCATGTCCCCTGGCACAGGGCAGGGTCACCTCAGTGTCCCCCCACTCAGGAGTTGTGTCCCCTGGCACACACTGGGGTCACCACGGTGTCCCCATGTCCCTGTATCCCCTGGCACACACTGGGGTCCTCACACTGTTCCTCCCCCCATCCCATGTCCCCAAGTGCCATGTCCCTGTCACACGCTGGGTCCCCACAGTGTCCTCGCCCCTGTCCCTGTCCCCAGGTGTGTCCCTGTGTCCTCAGGTGTGTCCCCCTGTCCCCAGGTGTGTCCCCAGGTGTGTCCCCAGTGTCACTCACTGGGAGAAGCCCTTCCACTCGAGCAGGTTCTTGGCCTGGCCCCTCACCCCAGGGCTGTGTCCCCCACATCCCTTGGTGTCCCCATGTCCCCAGGTGTGTCCCCATGTCCCCAGGTGTGTCCCCCAGTGTCACTCACTCGGAGAAGCCCTTCCACTTGAGCAGGTACTCGGCCTGGCCCCTCACCACGCGCCGATCCAGCACCTTCTCCACCACATATTCCTCCTCGTCTCCCGAGGACGAGCTGTCGGCTGCCCGCCGGCTCCTCCTGCCCATAGCGCAGCGCCCGCGGCTCCTGCGGGCACAGGGGGCACCTGGGCCAGGGGGACCCCAAAACAGGGGCACTCGGGACCCCAAATGGGGCACCTGGGACCCCAAACAGGCATCTGGGACCCCAAACAGGGCTCCTGCGGGCACAGGGGCACCTGGGCCAGGGGCACCCCAAAACTGGGGCACCCGGGACCCCAAACAGGGGCACCCAGGACCCCAAACGGGGCTCCTGCGGGCACAGGGGGCACCTGGGCCACGGGCACCCCAAAACAGGGGCACCCGGGACCCCAAATGGGGCACTCAGGACCCTAAATGGGGGGACTGGGGGCTCCTGCGGGCACAGGGGGCACCTGGGCCAGGGGCACCCCAAAACAGGGGCACCCTGGATCCGAAATGGGGCACCTGGGACCCCAAATGGGGCTCCTGTGGGCACAGGGGGCACTTGGGCCACAGGTAGCCCAAAACAGGGGCACTCAGGACCCCAAATGGGGCACCTGGGACACCAAACAGGCATCTGAGACCCCAAATGGGGGGACTGGGGGCTCCTGGGGTCCTAAATGGGCACCTGAGACTCCAACGGGGCACCTGGGACCCCAAATGGGGGGGCCTGGGACCCCAAACAGGCATCTGGGACCCCAAATGGGGGGACTGGGTGCTCCTAGGGTCCCAAACGGGCACCTGAGACCCCAGCGGGGCACCTGGGACTCCAAAGAGGCATCTAGGACCCCAAACAGGCACCTGGGACCCTAAAAGGGGGACTGGGGGCTCCCGGGGTCCCAAATGGGCACCTGAGATCCCAACGGGGCACCTGGGACCCCAAATGGGGGGACTGGGGGCTCCTGGGGTCCCAAACAGGGCACCTGAGACCCCAAACCAGGGAACTGGGGGCTCCTGGGGGCACAGGGGGTACCTGGGCCAAGAGGACCCCAAATGGGCACCTGGGATCCCAAATGGGGGGACTGGGGAACGGGGAAAACAAAGGCAGATTTATGGGGTGAAAAGGGCAGTTTTGGGAGCAAAAGGGGCAGATTTGGGCAGAAAAGGGCAGATTTTGAGCAGAAAAGGGGTAGTTTTGGAGGTAAAAAGGCAGATTTTGGGTGTGAAAAGGCGGATTTTGGGTTTAGAAGGATAGATTTTGAGTATAAAAAGATACATTTTGGGTGTGGAAGAGGCAGATTTTGGGTGCAAAAGGTGCGGTTTAGGGGATAAAAAAGACAGATTTGAGGTGTAAAAAGGGGAATTTTCAATGTAAAAGGGGCAGTTTTGGGCGTAAAGAGGTGGATTTTGGGTGGAAAAGGTGCAGTTTAGGGCGTAAAAAGGCGGATTTTTGGGTGGAAAAAGGCCCAGTTTTGGGTGTAAAAAGGCAGATTTGGCACGTAGAAAGGGCCAGTTTTGGAGGTAAAAGGCAGATATGGGTGTGAAAGGCAGATTTTGGGTGCGAAAAGGTGGATTTGGGGTGTAAAAAGGCAGATTTTGCGTATAAAAGGTGGATTTTGGGTGTACAAGGGCGGGGTTTGGGCGGGAAGGGCCCCGGGCGGCTCATCCCGGATCCCGCGCCCGGGAATCCTGAGGGAACAAAGGGAAGGAGCCGCTCCGAGCCCAAAAGCGCCGCTTGGAGGCCAAAAACCGGCGGCTCCGAGGCGAAAAAAGGCGGGTTTGAGGCGAAAAAAGGCAGCTTTGAGGCGAAACCCGCCGGTCTGAGGCGAAAAATTGCCGATTTGGGGCAGAAAACCGCTGTTTTGAGGCAAAACCCCTCTGTGAGACAAAAAGATAAGTTCTGAGGCAAAACACATCGCTTTGAGGCGAAAAACCGCCGGTTTGGGGTAAAAACCAGGTGTTTTGAGAGGAAAAATCAGTTCTGAGGTAAAACCAAGCGGTTTGAGGGAAAAAAATGCCGGTTTCGGGCAGAATCAGACGCTTTGGGGTAGAAAAACGCTGTTTTGAGGGGAAAAGCCGCTTTTATGAGGGAAAACCCCGCTGCTTTGGGGCAAAAAGCGGCGGTTTAAGGGGTATAAAAGTGGGGGGAGCGGGGAGGGGGTCCGCGGGAGGGGGCGGGGCCATGAGCGCGCCCCCGCCCGCCATTGGCCAGCGCCGCCGCGCGCCCGCGCGCTGATTGGCCGAGCGCCCTGCCGCTCGCCACAGCCACGCCGCGCCGCTATTGATCAGCGCAGCTGTCACTCCGCGCCCCGCCCCGCCCCCACTCCGCCGCTATTTGTCGGCGAGGCCGTCACTCAGTATGCGGCCCCGCCTTCAGCCCGCCCCCATTGGCTGGCGCAGGCGTCACTCAGCGCGGCGCCGCGACGCTATTGGTCGACGCGCCAGTCGCTCAGCGCGCCGGGGCCCGCCCCCCCCCGCGCTGCCGCCCATTCACCCGCCGCCGCCGCCGCCGGTACCTGCGCGGGGAGCGGCTCCGGCGCGGGCCCGTCCGCCGCGGTCTGGCCGCTCCTCTGAGAGGAGCCGCCGCCGCTCTCCGCGCTCCGCCCGCCAAAAACCGCCCGCAGCGCGCAGGCGCCGCCGGGCCGCTCTCCCGCGCATGCGTACCACCACCAATCCCTCCCCCCACACACACACACTGCCCACCCCACCGCGCCGGCGCGCGCGCTGACCCAGGCGCACCTTGTGGCGGCGGGCGGGCGGCCCCTCCTCGCCGCCGCCGCCGGGGGGACTCGCGGCCGCCGCCGCCGCTGCTGCTCCCGCCGCGCTCCGGGAGCCGCGCTGGGCCCGCCGCTGGCGCGCGCAGATGGACGCCCGTCTCCTCCAATCAGCGCCGCGCCGCCTCGCCCTCACCCAATCAGCGCCGCGCGCGGGGCGGGCCCTCCACCTAGCCAACCAATCAACGCCCCTTCAGTGGAGTCTCCGGGCCGGAGCGGGAAAACTAGCGGGGGGCGTGCCCGCCAACCTCTCACCCTATCAGCGCGCGGCGTGGGCGGGACTTAAATCCTCTCGGCCAACCGGCGCGCGCGGCACCTCTCGGCGGCCAATCGGACCGAGGCGGCGCGCGGCGTCGGCCAATAGGAGAGGGCGCGGTGGGCGGGGCGTGTGGCGGGGGCGGCCGAGTGAGGCGGCGGCGCTGCCCCCGCTCGGCCCCTTTGCCGTGTCGGCCCTCGCGGAGAGAGCATCGCGCGAGCGCCGCCGCCGCCGCCGCCGCCGCCACCGCCTTTTCCCCCCCCTTCCTTTCCCCCCGGAGCCGCCGCCATGGCCAAGGCCGAGGTGAGCCAGCGCTGCTTTTATTGTTCGCCTTTTCTTTTCTCTCGCCGCCCCGGCGGTTGTTTTTTTTTTTTTTTTTTTGAGGGGGGGGAGAGGGGGTGGGTTTTTTCCTCGCCCTCGCCCTCCCCTTCTCCCCCCTCCGCCCTTTTCCCCCTCCGCCCTTTTTCCCCCCCTCAGAGGCGGCCGCGCGGGCCCCGCGCGCTCGCGCAGCGCGCATGCGCCAGCGCCCGGAGCGGCCTCACTGCGCAGGCGCCGTTGTGTGTGGGGTGGGGGGGTGTCTGAGGGGAGGGGGGGGGATGAATGGGGAGGGGGGGTTCGCCCACGAGGCGCATGCGCGGGGAGACCCCCCCCAAGAGATAGAGAGACCCCCCCCACCGCCCCCCCCCCGAGGGCCACGTGCGCGTTCTCTTTGTGTCGGGGTCGAGGGGGGGTTTGAGGGGCCTAAAATTGGGGTTGGGGGGGTTTAAAAGGGGTGGGGGTCTCTGAAATAGCGGGTGGGGGGGTTAAGGGGGTGGTTGGCGTTAAAGTAGGGGCTTGGGGGGGAGTTGAGGGCTGGGGGACTTAAGGGGCCTAAAATAGGGACTGGGGGGGGTCATGGGGGTGACTGGCCCTAAAATAGGGGCTGAGGGGGTGGGGGGCTCTGAAATAGGGGCTGGGGGGCTTGGAGGGCCTAAAATAGGGGCTGGGGGGGTCAAGGGGGTGACTGGCCCTAAAATAGGGACTGGGGGCTTCAAAAGAGCCTTGGGAGCTTAAGGGGGTGGTGAGCCCTAAAATAGGGACTGGGGGGGTTGAGGGGGTGTTTGGCCCTCAAATGGGGGCTGGGGGCTCCAAAAAGAGAGTCTTGGGGACTGGGGGGGCTTGAGGAGGTGGGGTGCTCTAAAATAGGGATGGGGGGGTTCAAGGGGGTGATGACCCCCAAAAATAGGGGCTTGAGAGCCTGGATGGAACAAGGAGATGGTGGAGCCCAAAAATAGGGGCAGGAGGACCTGGGGGCCCCTAAAAGAAGGGGTTGGGGGGGCTTAAGGGGCTAGAGGGGCTCAGGGGCCTGGGGGACTCAAAAACAGGGGCTGGGGGGGCTCAGGGGAGCCCCTGGAATGGGGCAGGGGGGGCTGAGGCTCTGGTGGGCCCCCAAAATGGAGGCTGTGGGGTCTCAGGGGCCAGGGGGTGTTTTGGGGTGTCAGGGACTCCCTGGAGCTTTTGGGGGTCCCAGGGGAGCAGTTTGGGGGTTTGGAGACTGTGGATCTTTGGGGGTCCCAGGGGAGCAGTTTGGAGTTTTGGAGGCTCCCTGGATCTTTGGGGGTCCCAGAGATCCCATGTCAGAGCTTTGGGGGGGTCAGAGTGTGTCCAGTTGGGGTTCAGGGGGGTCCAGCTCCCCTGTGACCCCCCCTCAACCCCCCTGTGTCTTCCCAGTCCCCGAAGGAGCCGGAGCAGCTCCGGAAGCTTTTCATCGGCGGCCTCAGCTTTGAAACCACAGATGAGAGTCTGAGGAGCCACTTCGAGCAGTGGGGGACCCTGACGGACTGTGTGGTGAGACCCTGAGCCCCCTGGGACCCCAAAACCCACCCCCAGACCCCAAAACTCACCCCCAGACCCCCAAACCCACCAGGGACCCTGACGGACTGTGTGGTGAGACCCCGACCCCCCTGGGACCCCAAAACCCACCCCCAGACCCCTAAACCCACCAGGGACCCTGACGGACTGTGTGGTGAGACCCCGACCCCCCTG